GGGGAGCTCACGCTGGCTCTTGAAGTTAAAACCAGCCCTAACAAAGAGCTGTTTATTAAAGCGAGCTACATGCCAGGCATCTATTTGCTTTTGCCTCCCTCCCTCTCAGCGCGGGGCACCCCGGGGCTGCGGGCACAGCCCGGCCCATCCCCACCGGCAGCCCGTGACCCCCCAAAACTGCGCCAAGGGACGCCGAGGCCAGCACGCCGCTCGGGCTGGCTTTTCTTTCTTCTTCGTAAACCCTCAGTAGCTATTGGGAAAGGCGAATCACTTCACCCCTTGGGCCAGGTGGGCCGGTGCCCAGCACCTCTGCTCGCTTGCCCAGAGCTCGTTTGCCCCCAGCCTCGAGCCACCCAGACCAGACCCTGTGTGCTCTCTCCCCCGTGCGCTTGGCGGACCTCTGAGCTCTAAAACTGGCTCGGCTTTGCTCAGCTCTTGCTCTTTTTCTTGGGTTTTAAGTCAATTCCGCAGGAAACCTATAATAACGATGCCCGTCTCCTGCATGACTCAGTCCCGTGGTAGCGATCGCTTTGCAGGCAGGAGTCCCACCAGCGTTCCTGGCCCCAGCAGAACTCACAAGACAGCTGTTTTCCTCTTATTTTGTAATGTGGAAGTGGGACAGGGCTCTAGCTCCAGCAGGATGAAACATGAGTTATGGCATCTCTCCCAGGGCTAACAAAGTGATTACAGCCCTGCTTGTAGCGCTGCGTTACCCATTTCCATGTAGAGCATGCCTGAGCTAAGGACTTCTTGCACAGGCCAGAAAAACTCCTGCATCTGGGTAAATGGGGGAAAAAAATATAAAATTGGATCTCTCGGGGGACCTTTGATGCTGCAGAGCTCCTGCACGAGCATCCCGCTGCGGCCGGGGCAGGCTGCCTGCCGCAGGTTGGGTCCCGGGTGGCGCAGCAGCGTGGGGGCCGGAGCGATGTCCCCGTGCTGAGCGGCCGCCGCGTCCCCGCAGAGCTGCCTCAGCAGGCAGCAGCTCCTGGCCGCCATCCGGCAGATGCAGCAGCTGCTGAAGGGGCAGGAGACCCGCTTCGCCGAGGGCCTCCGCGTGATGAAGAGCCGGCTGAGCACCCTGCACGCCTCCCTGGCCAAAGCCACCCCCGAGCCGCCGGCCGGTGAGTCCTCCCTGGGTCCCACCCGTTGCTTTTGCAGAACCATAGAATCGTTTAGGTTGGAAAAGACCTTTAAGATCATCACGTCCAACCCATGGACCGATGGCCTCAGAGGATGCTGGGGTGGGCAGGTCAGGATGCTTGGGGCTGTGATGGGTGGAGGTTTGGGCATCTCCACGGACGGAGAAACCTCTTCCCGCATTGGCAATTCGTGAGCATGAATTTGAGCACTTCTCCAGCCTGGTAAGATGTGAGGAGGCTCAAAAGCCCTTAGCTGCAAAGCAGAGAGCTAATGGCAAAGCAGTGGGGGCGAGCGGGCTGGAAAACTGCGTCTCCAGCCAAAGAGCCACAGTCCTGCGCTGGGAGCATGAAAGCGGTGGCAAAAATGCCACCAAAGCCCTTGCCAGTGATGCTCAGCCCCACTGTGGGGCTGGAGGTAACCTGTTAACCTCAGCAGGCCAATATTCGGGGAAAATAACAGTTAAGGAGGAGGTCTTGGAGGAACTGGGTGAAGCGTGGTAGAGTTGGGGACAGGAAAGATAAGTCCGTGCTCCCCCAAAGCACCCGCCTGAGTACTGACCCCCTCTGCTCTTGCAGCCTCCTGCCCTGCCCTGCAAGCTCCCGCGGACGGGAGGAAGTTTGGCAGCAAATATTTGGTGGACCACGAGGTTCACTTCACCTGCGACCCGGGCTTCCAGCTCCTGGGCTCCAGCACGCGGACGTGCCAGGCCAACGGCAGCTGGACCGGGCAGGAGCCCCGCTGCGCAGGTACCGCTCCGGGCCGCCTGCCTGCCCCGCGTGCCGCGGGGCTGCCGGGCAGGCGGCCGCGGCCGTAGGGCTGCTGCGTGCCCGTGTCTGCCTGCGGACATCGTTTGCAAGAGTGGGATGCGATTTGGGTTTATTTAAACATGGGGGATGGATTATTGGGGTTCACCAAACGGGGAGGTATCGCAGCTGCCCCTGTGTCCCCGCTAGCCACCATCCCATGGATGCTGCAGCTCCTGCGGCCGGTGATTTGGGGTTTCTCATCCTCAAGGAAAAGTGGAAATTACAGCTGGAGCCTCACCTGCAGCTCAGCAGCAGAGGTGAGGGGAAAAGGCAGCAGTGCTACAATGGCTCCCTGCATCGTAGCAAACCTTTGCAGCCCCGCAGCATCGCAAACAGCCGGTGTTGGAGTCCGGCAAAATAAACAGTTATGATACGCTGCGGGTTACCAAAGCGGCCCGGTGCGTGCGGCGTTCCCGTGGCTCGCTTCCCAAAATAAAATTAAATTAAATGTGGCGCTTTTTTTGCAGAGATCAGCGAGTGCTCGAGCAGCCCCTGCCAGAACGGCGGGGCGTGCCCGGGGGGGGCGAACCCGTAACAGAGCCCCCGCCCCCA